CTAAACTGATGACTTCCAAGCAACCCTAAGAAGACTCGAGAACCGGCAAGCCCCGCGCCTTCACCACCGGCGACACGCTGTATTTCATGTCCGCAAAGTTGTGGGCATCCTCCGAGACTCCCTAAACCCTAAACCCTAAACCCGAAACCCTAAACCCGAAACCCTAAACCCGAAACCCTGAACCCTAAACCCTAAACGTACTCGATGCGTTTGGGGTTTCAGGTATAGGGTTTTGGGTTAGCGCTTGGGATTGAGGGAATGATCTACCCTATAAAAAATTCTCTTAAAGGGTTTATATGAGGGGATACAAGGTACCTAATTCCCTCATTCCCTACTAAGAACCAGTAAGTAAACCCTGACCCCGAGACCCAGGGAGCCGTGCCATGCGCAAGACTCAACACGGATCGACGCTGAAGTGTTGAAGGTTTAGGGTCCAGGGTGTTCGGGGCGTTGGCGTTTTGGGGCTTGGGCTGACACTAAACCCTAAACCCTAAACCCGAAACCCTAAACCCTAAACCCGGGGTGTTGAGCAGACCGGTCCTCCAAGGTCGTGATGGTGCCAGACTTGACCTTAGATGGCCCATAAAAACCTCTGAGAAAATATTCCTAGTTGAGGGTTTGGGGTTTGGGGTTTGGGTTTTAGGGTTTGGGTTTTAGGGTTTGGGGTTTGGGGTTTCGGGTTTGGGGTTTGGGGTTTAGGGGCTCAGGGTTTAGGGTTTATCTGACCCTCGTAAACCCCAATCTGAAGGGAAAAATATGAAAACATCCCAAGGGCCTACCTAGTGACGATGTATTGGTCCACACCCACCAGAGCCACGGTGTTGCCGCAGGGCACCTTGGCTGACTTCTGAACCCCTCCTAAAAGCTTAACTCTTAGGCTCCTTACTGTAGTTTGCTACAAAGGCCCAAAAAGGTTAAACCCCAAAAGCCCAAAACCATAAACCCTGTACACCCTATACACCCTAAACCCTTTAAACCCTAAACCCGAAACCCGAAACCCGAAACCCTAAACCCTACTAGCTTTAGCCTATAGTCCCAAGAGCCAGCCAGAAGAAAGCCAAGGCACATCCTGGATGGCCTCGGTCGTCCGACCCATCATCAGCACCGTCCGCCTTGGCTGTTTCGGAACGCTGGACCCGGTAATGTGCAAACCCTAAACCCTAAACCCTAAACCCTGAACCCTAAACCCTAAACCCGAAACCCTAAACCCTAAACCCTAAACCCTCAACCCTAAACCCTAAACCCTAAACCCTAAACCCTAAACCCTAACTTAAGGCCGGCTCTGGAGAATCTCAGGCCGTTTGGCCCATCATAGTCCATCCAAAGATGGGAGAGCCTCAACCCTCGAAGATCCCTTCATCGGAACAGAACTGTGGGAAAATTGAAGGGTTTATGAACGCAGTCAGGGTTTATGAGCCCAAATGTACCTTAAACCATATACAGTAGGGATCTATCTGAGGATCTCTGTCTTGGGGTAGTTTCGTGGTCCCTTAGTATAGGGCCCCATACTTCAGAACCCTTTGAAGGAGGTGAGAGACTATATCAAGGGGCCATGAAACTATCTATCCTCAGACTCTGGGAAGTGCAACGCAACGCGGAACTAAGCCGCTGGATGTTCTTGACGTGCAGGTCTTCCTTCGACCCTGGCTTGTAGTGTGCACCCTGGATGCGTACCTTCCTTGGCACAGGGTTTGGGGTTTTGTGGTCTAGGGTTTAGGGTTTAGGGTTTAGGGTATAATCATACAGGGACCATAAGGGAAGACTATTGGAAATAAGAACCCTAAGCCCTGAGCCGTAAACCCTAAACCCTAAACCCTAAACCCTAAACCCTAAACCCTAAACCCTAAACCCTAAACCCCAAACCCTAAACCGAGCTTCTGTCCCGAGGCCACTGTGCCGGAGAAGACGCGGCCGAAGGCATAGAAGCGACTCTTGTCCGTGGCCGGAACCATCTTGGACACGTACCTAACCCAACATGAGGGTTTAGGGTTTTGGATTTTGGGTGTTGGGTTTCGGGTTTAGGGTATAGGGTTTGGACCCAACATGCTCAATGACATCCTGGCTCTTAGTAGGGAATGAGGGAATGAGGGCCCTATATAATCCCTTAAAGGGTATTTATGGGGCCCTCATTCCCTAAACCCAACATGCTACGAGGATGGCCCTAAAAAGCCTCGGTAAAAAAAAAAACAGTCCTGAATATGATAAGGGAACATATGGAATATCCCAAGGGCCTAGCTAAGGCTAAAACAGAAGGTGTGGGGCCGGGTGCTGGGGTTTGGGTGTATGCTATGCACCGTTTCAAAGGATCATGGGGCTGAGCGGCTCGAGGCGTTGAAGTGTGCCCTTGTCCCTAAACCCTAAACCCTAAACCCTAAACCCTAAACCCTAAACCCTAAACCCTAAGCCCTAAGCCCTAAACCCTAAACCCCTAAACCCTGAACTGGTTCTCGTAGGAGCGCACAGCAGTCTGCCCCTTTAGGCAGGCCGACGGAAGAACGCCCTAGACCAGAAAATAGGTCCCCGGAAATAGGGGCCCCAAAAAACGTAAACACAAGGATCCTACTATTGGGGTATAAGGGCCCCTCTAAGGGGTATTCTGGAGAACCCTGTTTCTAAATCCTTATGTTTGTGGGGCTTTCTGGGTCCCTAGGAAAGTTTGTTCTATGCAGGTGAGGTGCAGCATCAGTGCAGCTGATGGGTCACAAGTGCGGATGCCGTTCGCGGCAGCGTCGTCCATGGGGCCCTCGTACAGGTTCTCGACACGATAGCGCTGTGCCACTTTCGGAGACGGCAGCTGTGTGACGATCATGGCCAACAGTGAGTCCGCGGCATTGATCCAGGTCTGCATCACGTGCTTCATGAGCGGCTTTCCTAGATTGAACTTGCAAGCCTAGCAATGATTATAATTTTAGCTGTTTCTTAGGAATCAAAGTGCCCAACAATTATTATAATTTTAGTGGTTTCTTAGGAATTCAAGTACCCAAAAATGCAAGAACATATTTCCAAAAGTACCCTCAAGGTTCCTGTGAGCTGCCGGTCTTCACCTTTCAGCACGATGCCCAGCGACTCCATCATCTTCTCATACTTTTCAGCGTCCTGCAACCCAGGGACTCCAATTCCAATGTCCCTTAATTAAGGAATATTCCCGAAACATATTAGAGGGTTCCTTATCTGGTTTAAGGAAGATTCCTTAGTTTAAGGGCCCCTAAACCCTAAACCCTAAACCCTAAAACCTAAACCCTAAACCCTAAACCCTAAACCCTAGACCCTATTCCTTAATTCAGGAGTATTGGAGTCTCTGGGAAAAACATGCCCACTACCACCCTGGGTCGCTTGCAAGGGCTCCTCTGAGCCTGGTCTTGGTCGAAAGGGGGCCATTACTTGCAATGCAGGGTTTAGGGTTTAGGGTTTAGGGTTTAGGGTTTAGGGTTTAGGTTTTAGGGTTTAGGGTTTAGGGTTCAGAGTTTAGGGTTCAGGGTTAGGGTTTAGAAGATTTAGGGTGCAGTGTGACAAGTTAGAATGCCTTTTGTGTGTGTGTGTGTGTGTGTGTGTGTGTGTGTGTGTGTGTGTGTGTGTGTGTGTGTGTTTGGGCTTTAGGGTTTCCAGGGCTCTGAAATAGTTGTGGGGTGACAAGTACTCCAGGCGCAGGCTCCTGGTCCATGATGGCGCGGATCAGCCTATGCTGAACTTGGAGCACCGGCAAAAGATGTAATTTTAGCTGTTGCTTAGGAATTATAGTACCCCAAAAAACTCTGTAAAGAGCATACTCCCAAGTATCCCTATACGTCCCTACTTAGGAATGATATTCCCCGAAACTTCAAACAAGGTTCCCAAGTATCCCCTAAGCAGCTGGTTGATGGGTCCCATGATGTACTGACAGAAGCCTCGCTGGAGGAGCTCCCCGAGATCATCCACTTGGGCTGTGGTCCAGACCTGAGCTCCCGGCTCCAAAACCGACCTCCAAGAAACCAAAAGGCAGAACGCATATAATTATATTATCCTCAACCAAAGGAGACACATGCCAAAAAAAACTAGGGAGATTTCCTGTGTTTGAGGATGTTAAGAAACTAGTAGCTTTGGGGGGGGCCTGTGAGTCTGTGAGTTTCGAATCTCTCGGCAAAGCGTGCTGGCCTTCAAAGGCCCATACTTCCCTTAGAACCTTAATTTAAATATTTTTTAAATATCCTCTTGGGTTTTATATAAACAAACATAGAAAAACTAAATTCCAAAGGGGGATATAGAGGCACCTTCCGCTTGGCATTGTAGTACCAGTCTCCCCACAGTCGCTCCATCCTCGGATGGCCCGTAAAGCCCCACTGAAAAAACACTCCTGGAGATGATCTCCTCGTAAATCTTAAACCCAAGAAAGGGCAAAGAAATGCAAAGATACTCCTGGATATGGTCCTCTTAAGACCAAGAAAGGGCAATTTTTAAAAACAAAACAAAACATTCCAGGGGGATCCTGCCCAGCATCATCTTGGCTTGATTCACACCCATCTTCTGGGCGTAGATCTTGGCGAAGCGCTCGGTGCTGAAGCCCCAGCCGTGTAGGCCGCTGCCGAAGGCGACGTTTCCGATGCCCGGGTCCATCTGCAAGCTTCCCATGGAGGTGTCGCTGTAGGTGGCAATTATGACGTTCACGTTCTCGATGGCGCTCCGGAAGCGGCAGTACATCTCCTCGACGTCCATCTGCATTTCCAGGATGCAGCGGTCCACCTTGTTCACGAACAGGCAAGGCTTGACTCGTTCCTGAAGTGCCTGCCGCAGCACTGTCTCAGTTTGAACTGCACAGCCCTCGATGCAGTCGACGACAACGATGGCCCCGTCGGTGATGCGCAAGGCTGCTGTCACTTCTGAAGAGAAGTCCACATGGCCAGGGGAGTCGATGAGGTTGATGAGGTGAGGCTGAGGCCCACCACCATCCTCACAGTCGTGCTCAAAGAAGAGGGTCACGCCGGTGCTCTTGATGGTGACCCCACGCTCCTGCTCGTCCTTCCGCCCCTGCATGAACTTCGCATCACCGGCCGACTTGTTGGAGATGATGCCGGCCCTGGAAAGCAGGGAGTCGGCCAGGGTGGTTTTGCCGTGGTCCACGTGGGCGATGACGCTCATGGAGCGGATGCTCTCGGTCTTGTCCATGATGGCACGCACCTGCTCCACGGAGAACTGCGGCATCACCCCAAGGACAAGGCCCCCCAAGCGGGGGGGGAGTGGAGGAGCCTGGTGTGACAAAGCTGCTTTGAGCACTCTTCGAGGCATGCCCCGCCCTGACGCACCCGGTCCCTGGCCTGTAGATCCTTTCAGGAATGCGGCTCCCAGATGCTGATGCTCCAAAACTATCAAATCCTAAAACCTAATAAGCTCCAAGGCCCTGGTTCTTCATAGGGAATGGGGGAATGATGGACCCTACATAATCCCTTAAAGGGTATATATATATATATGTGTACCCTAAACATCCCAAAGCATTAAACCCGACATCAGCCCTGGGGGGTTCGGATTCTGCCTTAGGTGTGAGCTTGGCTTCCCTGACTTGACTAACTTCTGAACCCCCCACAAAAAGTTTAACTTCTTGGCTCCTTATTGTAGTTTCTACAAAAAAAACCCAAAAGGTTAGAGCCCCAAGAGCCAGCCAGAAGAAAGCCAAGTTGATTCTGTTCTTAACTACAGGACCAGAAATTTTTCTAGGTCTAGGTATCCGTGAACCCTACAACCTAAACCACGAAAACAACACGAACTCTAAACCCTAAACCCTAAACCCTAAACCCTAAACCCTAAACCCTAAACCCTAAACCCTAAACCCTAAACCCTAACCTAAACCCCAAGCCCTGTAAGCCTTCTAACTCCTACAACCCAAAAGCGTAAACCCAAAACCCTAAACCCTAAACCAAAGGCGAACCGGAGAGATGTCCTTATCGGCTGCGCCGAAGGCCCTGGCCTCTACGATCCACAAGCGTGTTTAGGGTCAAGGGTTTGGTTGCTCGAGGTGCAAACCAGAGCCTCCAATACCCCTTTAGTTGAGGAATATTCCTTAAACCCTCTAAGGAACCTGAGTAGATTTTAAGGAATTATTCCTTCTAAAGCATAATCAAGAACCCAAATGTACTTTAAGAAATAGGGCCTGAACTACGGGGGGCAATGGAGACTTCGGGGGGGACCCGGGAGCCCAAAGTACGCTCTCCGACTTTCGAAGGACAAGGTGCCCTGGGGAAGATGGCGATGTGAGTCGCCTCTGCCTTCGTGCCCCGGGTGGCTCTGCGGAGCGGGGTTTAGGGTTTAGGGTTTAGGGTTTAGGGTTTAGGGTTTAGGGTTTAGGGTTTAGGGTTTAGGGTTTTAGGGTTTAGGGTTTAGGGGGCTTCGGGCTTAGGGTTTAGGGGGCTTAGGGGGTTCATAGGGCTCAGGGCTCCCTGAGCCCTAGAAGGCTCACCTCCAAGACAGGAAACGATGGGTCTCCAATGGGATCCCAAGGAATGCAGATGTTAGAATCACAACAAGACATTGTATGTATATATGTATGTGCATATATAAATATAAATATAAGTGTATATATATATATATTATAATTATTTATATTTATTTGTGTGCTTATTTATGTTTTTGGGTATGCATACCTTGGTCCTCCCAAAACAAAGCCAGGGGCCGAGCCTTCAGGACTTAGGATCGAGTATTCCAAGTCATTCATGACAAACCGCCTTGAACCCTACTCTATCCTCAAGCCCTACGCCCCACAGATGAGCAGAGAAGAAACTTGTTGTTTTTCCCTACTTGGGATGGCCTTAAAACCCTGAAAAGCATTTTACGTATAGGGTCCCATACAAAATTAAGGGAAAACAGAATATCCCAAAAGCCACCCTAGCTGCACAGCTTGGCCTAAGTCTACATCGTATCAGCTCCACAGCCGGAGACCCGACGGCTCAACCACCCGGACTCCAAAACCTGTGAACTTCTGAGGCCCGCAACCCGACAAGCCCTACAGAACCCTACTTGGAGGTTCATGGGTATACTTAGAACTACAGGTATAAGTCTACCTATAACCTACTTAGGGGACTTAGGGGGGCTTATAAGTACAGTTATAACTAGGGTTATAAGTACCCTGAACCTCCAAGTAGAAGCCCGCTTAAACCGTTCCAACCCTAAGAAGCAATGCAGTCCTTGAACGAACCTATGAAGCCCCTAAACACGATAAGCCCTGTAAGTTCCAACCCTAAGAAGCACGTGTAGACCTTAAATAGCCCCATAGGCACGAACCCAAAGAGCCCAATATTGCTTAATTAAGCAATATACCTTAAATCATATAGGGGTCCTTAATATGATTTAAGGAATATTCCTTAATTAAGCAATATTGGGCTCTTTGGGAATCCCGATAAGCCCCTCTCAAGCCCTTAGGCTTAATGAAGCAGAAGCTGCCAGCGCGCTCGGCATCAGAAAGAAGGTTTTGACCTGGCAAGCTGTCGAGCCCATCAAATCACCGACGGTAGCTTGAATTTGGAGAAGGTACCTGAGTTCGTAGCGAGGACCCCTGAACAGCGCAAAAGGTCTTTCTTAGCCAAGTAATATTGGGCTTTGGGGTTTTGGAATTGAAGCAGACGTTGTCCAGAGCTTTAAGTGCGATGAAGGATTTCGTGTTGAGCAACAGGTCCTGCCTGGCCGCTGAAGCGCGTGGACAGGAAGAGCACCAGGTGTGACACGACCTGTAGGAAAGGTTGCCGGAAGGATCGGTTCCGGGGACAATAAATAACCAAGTCCCAAAATCCCAAATCTGGAGTCCTACAACCGATCAAAACCTGTGAATTGTTAGGGGCCCCTGCTTGCGTTAGGATTTCTTAAGACATTGAGAGTTCATAATGTTTGGGGTTTTCTAGGGGAATGACCCTAAACCCTAAACCCTATAACCCTATAACCCTAAATGCCCTTCTTGGCGAGGTCCCGGGTCGCTCTTGTGTTCTTCTCATGCGCGGCCCATGCACAATTCTAGGCCGCAGAGCATCCTAGGAATGAAAGGTACCCTTTTTGGCTTAGGGGCTTCAGGGTTTAGGGTTTAGGGTTTAGGGGCTTGTAAGAGAAAAGGGAATAAGGGCCTACTCTGGGTCCTGATCCTTGTGCTGTCAAGTGTTTTCGATGCATAACAGAAGACTGGTCGGTGCTCAGAGCCCTACGCATCTACCTACTAGGCTCCACCCCAGGTCAGTTCCCCCTTGGGTTCCACATTTTGCGGGGAAGCGTGTAAGGGGTAGAAGGGTTTAGTTTCGGGTTTATCATTACAGAGGCTCCCCCCCGTTGTAAGAACCTGCAAGCAGTCTTTCTGCAGTGAGGCCACGTAAATGAGTAGGAACTGCTTCGCCGAGCGATCCCATCCCAAGCCGAAATACTGCTCCCAAGTGAGCCATGCCTCGGAATTTAGGGCTTAGGGTTTAGGGTTTGGGGTTTAGGGTGTAGGGTGTAGGGTTTAGGGTTTAGGGTTCAGGGTTTAAAGGGGGCCTAGTTTAGGGACTGGGGTCCCTTATTAAAGCCAATGCAACATTATTGGATTCCCTGGATGCCAGCCAAGCCTTTGTAACTCGAGCCCCCCACTCAGGTCGTCGTCCGATGTCAAACATTCGGTTCTGTACTGGCAGACTTTCAGCTTTAAAGGTTTGTTCTGCGCATTGAAGTACTATTAGTTACAGGAATGCTCTTTGCCCTGTCACGTTCACCCAAATTCGTTCGTGGTGGGCGGTCAAGACCGACAGGTGGGATGGCTTCTGGGGTCTTTTGAGGCAAACGGGTGATCTGACCTCTCGTCTCTTCACCCTTGGTCATGTCGCGGCCTTGGAACTGCATGCCAGATTACAGGTCTCTCTCTCGCTCTCTCTCTGACTCTCGCTTTTGCCCCGGATTCACCCTCGGAAGCTGTTGGACTCCAGGTTTATAATTGGCTGGCGCGGATGAAAAGAATTTGCATGCTGTGGTAAACGCCTGTTGGCCGTTCATGGTCGTGCTTGAACTTCAAGTTGCAAAAGCCACAAGGACACGAAATCACCGGCCTTTCTGAGACAAGAACAAGAATAAAAGCCCACGTAAGGAAGCGCACGCACAAAGCACATCAACATCACACACAAAACAGACTGCTGATGAACGACGCTTGGTCTTACCTTGTCACTAGGCTAGCTCTGAAGCCTTGCAACTTGTTTGCTGGGGTCATTTCTCGAGAAAACCAGAAAGTACATAAACATGGGGATCGCATGAATCCCCTTTTCTGTATTTGGATGCCATTTCCTTAGAACGAGAATGACCCATAGCAACCGAATGTAGAATACCGCCTGCAGCATCTAATCCTTCCGCTTTCAAACTGGTTGTCGCATGTACCCCCACGTCCCCGACATCGTTAACCACAACGGCACGAGTGATGGAATCATTGATCACCAAGGAATAGAACTGCTGTATACGGGTTTGTTTCGGAGTCTTTTGGCCTTGGGGATTGGCAAGAGCAAAACCCTTTCCAATTAGAACGGGATTTAACATCAGGAAAGCTACGAACGAACGGAAGAAGACAAAACAAAGACGCCCAATAAGCTTCATATCCGTATTCGCGACAAACCCCATAATCACAACAATACGTAAATATTATTTCCTGTGTTGCTCTTAGTGTTGCTTCTTTGCGCTCGTTTGCTCGCTCATCTCAGCGGCTGACAAACATCATGGTTCGTTCAACGATTCGTAACCTACGCGGCAGGGCTTTGTCGATTTCCAAAGGTTAGCACGATTACCGGGGCATCGCTTTAGAATAAGCACACGTCTTCGGAAAACGGAATGCGCGCGACATCAAGAACTAACCAGAATTCGAATCCATCTCAGCACAAGGAGAAACACATAATATGCCAGAGCCTACCCGAGTCGCTTCCTCTGTCGCCCAGCGCAAGCTCGAAACTTAACCGTCTAAAGCTTTACAACTCATGGGAGTTTGTTTGAACATTAAGGGTCCATTTCTTGTGATGCTTTCGAGGCATGACTTACACAAAAGACCCTCATACTTACTGTTGGTTAGCAGTTAGCAGGGCATGAGGGAATGAGGGCCCTATATATAACTTTAAGGGATTATGTAGGTTACCTTATTCCCCATTCCCTGATAACAAACAGTAAGCATAAACGGACCCAAATCCAGAACAAGCCCTCTCACGCAAGCCAGGTGGCGAGTTGAA